TCTTCAGAGAACAATTTGTCCCCTATAGAGAACAAAAGTGTTGTTCTTCAGAAAGTGTGATCTTCATCTTTTGTGTTTTTCAGAGAACATAAACCTTGTTCTTCAGTTTTTTGGAAGTTCTTGAAAAACCTGGTCTCTGAAGAACAGGTTGCCCCCTGTAGGGATCAAAAAACTTAAAGAACAAAGATTTTGTTCTTCAGAAAACTGAAGATTCTTGTTGTACAAATCTTTGGAGAACACATATGATCTCTATAGGGGACAAATGAAGATCACTTTTTTTGTTTTTTGAAGAACACAGATTTTTAACAGTGTATATTATAGAGCTAACACATTAATCAAGACGACAGATGACTGGCTCACATTTCAATATATTTTTTATTAATTCTCAATCATCTTTCTGACATGATACGATACCGGTGAAGTTGTCGCTCTACAGCTGCTGAGGTTGGTGATGTTGAAAAGTCAATCTTTTTGGTTGATACTTGAAAGATTTCTCAAGTTTCTGCTCTATTACTGCAATATTTTATGCAGATTTTTGGATATCGGATATAATCTTCAGATCATCTTACAGTACAAGATCATCAACAATTTTTATTACAGAATCTGCCTTGAAAAAACTTGATCAAGATTTTTAGCTGTTTCTGACACATTGATTCATTAGTCAGAATCTTGACAGGTTTTCGATGTTTGCGTAAGATCTCGATGAAATCTTGAACCATCAGCCTTTCAGTTCGTTTAATATTATTTTCAGTAGGTTCTATTTGTATGTACTACATTCTTCAAAGCAAGCAAGTTCTGCAGTGCTGTATTGAACCAACAGTGCTGCAAAATTCACAGCTGTTGCGCTATCTTTCTGGTAGTACTAGCTGTTCATTCAAATATTATGTTCATAATGGATTTGAAATCCATTGAAATCAATTAATAACATAATAGTTTGAAATCAATTGACTGCACTGTAAAGAATAAAATGTGTAAATGGCACACATAAAGTGAACACCAAGTAGATTCAATTCGTTTTCAAGTAGATAGATACTGAGACCAATGATATAGTCTATGTGTCTAACCTATCTGTGCTGGAAATGCCTCAGATTCATCAATCGATTGTTCAAATCTATCATATGGGGATGTTTCTTTTTCACGTTTTTTTCTCATCCATTTTTGCAGGAAATGACAGCATATATACTTCCGAAGATGATGATCATAATTCTGAAATTATTTTTTCATTTGATGTAGTAGTTTGGGAGAAAAATGGAAAATAACAAATCTTTTCAACACACCTAGCCATTTACACACTGAGATTGACTATCTAGAGAAAGTACACACTTTTCGATGTCGAGTGAACGTTTAGATGATTTACACACCTAGTAACACACTTTATTTTGTGAAATTGTGAAAGTATCTCCAAACGAGAAGGAGCTGAAGTTTTATATTCAAACAGCCCTGATTTTGACATTTTTCTTTGTATTAGATGAGCTAATGCCAGGAGGTATGATTTAATGGGAAAATCAAAGACTGGTGAAACTTAAGTTTCTGCATTCACCCGCTGTTTTTATTTTTGAAGCCTGCCAAAATGAGTTGGTTGACGTTTTACTGTTATCTATATTCATCGATGCAACACATTTTCACCGTTTTTTTTATCTCTGAAGTAATTTTTTTGGTCTGTATTAAGATCAAGTTTATTTAGTATATAAAATTTCATTAACATATTTACCTACTGAATTGTATTTGAACATGCTCCATGACACGTCACGCTTCACAGACAAAAGTACAGCCTGTATAGACATAAGTGAATACAAATTTGTTATGATATCCTACAAAAATTATATCAACAATGATGCAGAGCAATTTCATGTCTTTATTATGAAAGTAGTTTTAGAACGGAGTTTGTAATGATTTTTTCAACCTCGCTCATATAGCCCTTTTGTTTATTTCGAACAGAATTATATTACGACTAGTGATTTTTCTTCTACTTCTATAAATTACAGATCTTAGTGAAATGGGTTGACAATTTTAGTAATAAGAGATTTCGTTTAAACTCATATTCTGAGACAAATTTTTCGTTGACAACGTTGGAAATGAATATTCCAAGCATTTTAAAGAAAGTTGTATATAATTTTTTCTTTCTCTTACTGTTACGCACTCAATGCATATTCATATCACCGTAACATTATATACTTCTTCTACTCAGTGTTGTTTGCATCAAAGTAAACATATTGACCACAAGGAACAAATCGTATTTTAGGTTAATTTGCTCATAATAAGATTTTATTATATTTATTGAAATCAGTGTTACAACATGGTCTTATTGATGATGAATTTCTTATATTAAAACTGTGTTCATAAAAAGTCTATACACAAACAAATACCGCTCTGATGTATTGTGAACCAAATTGATGGCTTATGACATAAAAGATCAACTGGCATCAATCAACGTTAGAACAGATTTAAGTAAGCATATCCAAGTATGTTTTTGTACAAAATTCTGTCTTCAATAACGTATTCTTTTAGTTCAACTGTTTTTTTTTAATACAAAGTCGGTTCTTCTTTTACTGATACATGGTTTGTGTCGTCTAGTCAATTGTCTGTCAGCTGAATTTTTAAATTATATCAATCAAAAATTTTTATTAAATACTGGTAGTGACGTGGCATTCTTAGCTGCTCAATTGGACGAAGGAAACTGTTATTTTATCCTGACATTGTCTTCAAATTTTAAATTGTATGGAAAAACATAATAAAATTCGAATAAAATTGAAAGAATTAGAAGAAAATTCTAATTGATGAGAATCCATGGTCAGAATAAGAAAGAAAATGTGTTACTTCAAAATGAACATTGAATGTGGAATGATCATCATTCAAATTTTCATCGTACTTAGTTGATAAAATATTGGCTCTCGTAAAAAGCATAAGATCAATGAGTGTGAAAGAGAGAAAGAAAAAGTGTTGTTCGTAAGTGACGTAGAAGAATATTAAATATTTTGCTGTCAATATATTGTATGATTGGAAGAGGACATTAGAGTAAGAAAATATTGAATAGTCATGTAGGAGTTCAAAAATTTCTTTATTATATGCTTGATATTTTCAAATGTTTATTCTTTTTGCATGTTTCTCAAGAGAAAAATCTCTTGGGCTTAATAGTTTTTCAAGTTACTGTTGCAAGGCAATATCTGTCAGGTTTGTTTATTTACTATATTATTTCTTGTCCATCAGCGTTCACTCATCGTGTTAGAAAACCGTAAAAAATGAGGAAACTAGAGAAATTGAATAGATGCTTTAGTAGTCAACCTACCTTTCCCCAGTTTTTCCATAGTTTTCTGTTGTTTTAACGACAGATACCTCTACCTAATTTTATCGACCAGTGTGTAAAGAACACTTGGAAGTCTATATTCTAAAATATGTTTGTTTCCCGGACTTGTACTTTCTTAGAAAAAACAAATTTCGAAGATTTTATTTCAAAAATGAAAACTTAATTTTTGTATCAATCGATAGAAAACATCAAAATGTGTAATACTTTATCGTTCTCAGAGAAGATTCACAAAAATGTAGGTTTTACGTTTCTAATAGAATTTTGGTACTAAAGTATTTTGAAACGAGCCCTGAATCAAATTTCGCTCAAATGAAGCATTTAGAAGTAAAAGTATGCATACAAAAGTTGTTCAGAATGTAATTCAATCGAAAATAATACAAAATAGGGCAAAAAGCCTCGTAAAAACTTGAAATCTTTTCTCTCAAAAAGTACAAGTTCGAAAATTGAAAAAATTATATCTTATGTATTATATATATTATAAAAAGTGTTCTGTATAAACTGATCACAAAAAAATTGAATGAAAGGAGTTTCGTAAAGAAAAACAGATTAATTTGTATAAGTATCGATTAAAATTATGTTAATTCATCTTATTCTATTCTCCGTACTCCCCCACGATTTTGTATAAAACAAACTAGATTTTGCCAACAATGTTGAGGATCATGACATTTTTTTTTTACTATTAATCTGCTAATTTCTATGCAGGTTTTGTTTAAAAATATATTAGAAATGAATTTCTAAGGAATTTTTGAAGTGCAATAACAATTTCGATTGAATCTGTTACAATCGTCAGTTCTTGTCGTTGTATTAAATAATGATTGTATAGTTGTTTAGTTTTGCATTAGATGTTGGAATTGAATGTGTCAGACGCATAGGTAGCTATTTGGATGTAAATTCTGTAGAAAAAAAAAATAAATTTATGGCTGATAAGCGAATCAGTATCAATCATCATTTACACATTCGGTACACATTCTTTCTTGCTTGCATACATATAATTTTGTTTATCTATCAGTAATGATTCAAACTATTTTTCTATTTTTAAATTTTCTTCTATAGTAAAAAGAAAAAGAAACTGGTGATTCTGATTCTTATAATCTAGGAGGGTAAAAACACTACTTACAATACAAACAGAATAAAACTAAATAATAGGTCACAAGCAACATGTTGGATTTCTTTTTTTTCTTTCTTTTTATATTAATATTTTTTTCTGTTATATTCACCACTGAGAATAAGAATATATGACTTCATTAATGCGTGAAAATTTGCATTCTATTTTTCTAGAAAATTTTTTATCTTTATTTGAATTATATTTTTTTCTTGTTGTTGTTGAATGTGCACATGTTCATCATTGAAAGCTATAGAATCAATTATGAGTTCGAATTAAACTATGAGGTTTTTCTGACGTCATTTTCCTGTATTTATATAGTGAACTAATATTCTTATTATTATTTTATAACTAGAATTAAAAATATAATTTTATTCTATTAGTTGGCGAATATATTATTATGGCAGAACAAGAATCTATGTTAGAATGGGAAAATCAAAATAATAATAATGTTACAAAATCAACTAAAGACTACACTGTTCATAAATCTGTGTTTATCTATATTTGTGTTATATGTTTTGGAATTGGAACATGGCTCGATTTGAATGGCGTGTGGATGGAGATTCCATTGATTGTTAATAAAGTACCTGAAGGATGGAAATTATCGGCTAATCTAGGTTCGTACGATAGACACATGATTAATGACTTATACACTAGCAATTATAAATTCGAGTAAATATATAAGAATAAACATTCCAAAACCGTATTTTAGAAGTCTTTTTTCTATATAACGTATAGTTCAGATAGAATCAATAGTTTTGTGATTTGATTATATCTTCGTTAGTGTTTAGCTCTAACATTTTCCAATTAGGAAAGAAACTATTGTGAAATTCTTTACAAAAAAGTGTATTGAATGTTTTATTGCAAAATATGAAAATGAAACGTTTTTTTGAAAAAGTACTGAGGGGCTCTAAAATGAAAAGTACGTTTCAATTAATTCAAATACTATTTTTAAATGAGAATGGAGGATCAGTTCTAACCTAAAAATCAGTTTATGTTGTTTTATTCGTTTGACAGTTGAGGTGAGAGAAAATCGAACTAACCATTATTTTTGCTCTTGAAAAGCAACAAAATCTCCTATCTATAATTAAAATTTATTACAGTAGAATATTTTGCCTTTTTTCGTTTTACGAAAAATTGTTATAGATGGAGAATAATTTCCCATTGTTGGATAAAATCCTCGTAACTAAGATATTCGATTCGGGCTGTTTTTGTTTTAAAGAGAAGCAACATGTATATTATATTCAAATGCGAAAAACTCCTTTCTTCCAATATGTTGAGTAAAATGAGCAAAATTGCGTTGTTTTCATAAGATTTCCGTGCACCGTTTCTTTTCTAAAAAGAAAGTGTTAGGGATAAACACTAACGAAAATATAAGGAAATCACAAAACTATTGATTCTATCTGAACCACACGTTATATAGAAAAAAGACATTAATTATTCGAATGTTTTAGGTTTAATGTCTAATCTGGCAAATATTGGTCCATTATCTGTAATATTATTACGTCGCTTTATTAATAAATCAACGGCGTATGAAGTACCCGTTAATTTTAGTATATTGCTAGTGGGCGTTGTGGCTTTAATAGCTCTCAGTTGTTTATGGGATAAAAGTGTCTATTTTCTGAGTCAACACCGAAGTGTATGGATGTTAAGTCTTTGTTTTTGGTTAGGTGTCGTGGACTGTACATCATCAGTAACATTTGCACCATTTATGTCAAGATATCAACCATTGTATCTCAATGGATTATTCACGGGAGAAGGTTTAAGGTAAGAGTTGACAAATATATTTCAAATTTCAATTTAGCTCATTAAGAAAACATTAAAGATAATAAATAAAAGTTGAAGAAAAAGTTCAGTCACTAGCGTTAGTTTAGATTACAATTGGAATTTTAGTCAACATAGGTGGATCCTATGTAAATGTTTTTCAATCGTAGACGCGTCTAAAAACGCGTTTTATGTTGCGTTTAATGTTGCGTTTAATCGCTCCGAAAATGCACCATTTACTAGCATTCAAACGCATTTTTCCAAGACGCGCTTAAACACCTTTTACCATGAGGAGGGCGCATTTTAATTAGGCGCGTCAGAGCGCCATATGTAGAATGGTAAGCTCTATATAGAGTTTATCATTCTACATATGACGGTGCCAGCTTTAATTCGAAAGGCAAACGTTTAGTGCTGAAAAAAGTTAATTTTGGATGACTGTGTCGACTGGAATTCCCCCAACGGTGACCGATCACTTAATAGTAAGCACCTCTTCTCGCACATTGTATATTCATTGTGTATGTGTTCAACCTTTTTTCCTTTCTCAAGGGAGAAACGAAAACCAAATTTAGTTTTATTTAGTCAATATTGCTAGTTCGGACAAGGTCGGTATTGCCTGTTTCAACAATATATCTTGAAAGAACAGACAACATGTGAATAATCATACATTTACTTGTACTTTACGCAGATTTATATGCGTACGAAGCTTTACTAAAAAGATTCTTTTTATGTAAAATAAATAGGAAATTTGAATATAACAATAACTGATTTATGATAGACTCTATCAAATAATTGTGAACATACCTAATAAATGTTATGGATGTTCTTCTTTACTTTCGTCTGTAGTCATTAACTCCGTCCAGTAAGAACCAGTTCAAGTTTTCGAGGTCTGAGCTATTCTATAACGAAAAAGCGGTTGTAAAACAAAATTTATTTAGCTCAATGTTTAAATTCAGTTAACGTACAGTGTTTAGGAATTGTAGATATTAGAGCAAAAGCATTAGAATATTTATTGTACCGAGGTAGTTTACATCTTTAATAGTCACTGCAACACTAAATATGTTTAGTTAAATAGTACATGTTAGCATTAAGAATAGGGCTGCTTGCCTGATCGGGCAAGACATATTAGCCGTTCCCGCAATAAAATCTCGGAAGATGCTTCCTATGCGCTTTGGAAAAATAAGCATCACTACACTGTGGGTAAGCGCCATTTTACGCAGTTTTTGACGCTCTTTCAAGTGGAATAAGTCTCGTTATGCGTCATCGGTTTCATTTTTGCGCTGATACATTGCGAGAAAAAAATGTAAACATCTGGCCGAAAGTGGCAAGGTACTCCTTGCCTGGTTAGACCATATTGTCTCTTCCGGCAATATTGCCCCATCGGATCAGAAGTCATGGTAACGGACTGCCAGATGATTCTCTCTCTCTCTATATATATATATATCTATTTCAATGGATTTTCGGTTCGCCCCCTATTCTATTCTAACTTTTCGCATTCTTTTACAGAACTTTTAAAATGCTCATTATTCTCAATTTTTATCTCAAGTTCGTTACTGCCAGCCTTGTTAGCTATCCTTCAAGGTGTTGGAGGAGAGGCAAAATGTGTTCAACAACTTGTATGGGACAAAACTTCAAATCAAAGCGTTAATATGACTGTTCAAGAGACGGTATCACCGCGATTTTCCGTTGGAGTATATTTTCTTTGCATAACCGGTTTAATGTGTTTATCGTTCTTCTCGTTTATTGTTTTGATATTAACAAAAACCGGTAAACATGAAATTCCTTCTGCTGTCACTCAGGAAACAAATAATCAATCATCGGAAAAACAGCAACAACAGCTAAATAGTCCTGTAAATCAACCTTTGTCGACCAATTTTTGGTATTCAGAACATGGACTATTTCTTGTGTTTATTTTTTGGATCAGTTTCGTTCTCCTCGGATGTATACCGTCGATAAACACATACTCACTAAATCCATATGGGATAAAAACCTTTCATTGGACTATTATCCTTTGTAAGTAATGAGCGTCTTTCCAATATAAAATACAATCCATGTTAGTGATGGACAAAGTGACATACCCTCTGGGTCTTACGGGTTTTTGACGTTGTCCTATCTGATGGTGCTATTGAATTGGGTTGATTCGGATTTGCGAGTGAACTTCTTGAAAACCCAATTTTTGAGCACAGGGCTTTCGAAAACATTGAAATTAAAAATATTCGCCGTTATCATTTAGTTTTTTAAACAAGCTCATTCGACAGAGTTCACTTTTAGCTAAAAAAATAG